CCAAGGCCAGCCCTGATTTATGGAGATGTGGATAGAGAAATGGATTCTTCCTCTCAAAGGGAAGATCTGCAAAGAATCTGTGCCCAAAGTCATTGTAAACAAATGGAAGAGGAGGAGGTAAAGCACAGGTTGACTGATTCCTGAATGTACACTCTTGACCATCATGCTATATGCTGCCTCCATGAGAAACTGACATGATTGTGTAGCTAGCAATTCATTCATTCGTTCTTTCTTTCTTTCTTTCTTTCTTTCTTTCTTTCTTTCTTTCTTTCTTTCTTTCTTTCTTTCTTTCTTTCTTTCATCAAATGTTACTGACCACTTGCAATGTTCAAGTGCAGAGCTGAGCATGGGTCATATAGAATTGAATGGGGTCCAGGACTTGGTGCTCCTAAGGAAGATGAGAAAGCCAGCCTTACCCAAGCTCTCTCAAATCTTCTTCATCTTGCTCAGTGGTTTTAATGCTAGCTAGGAGCCCAAGGGAAAGGGTCAGTCCTTGGAAGGACTTCCAGAGGAAGGCGAAGTCCAGCTGGAGTCCCAGTCTGTAGGAAGTAAACTGGGAGAAGCAAGGACAGGCTTAAGGCTTAGCTTCTGCACCAGGGGCTATGTGTAAGGTTTGACTTCTTAGCTTTCTCAGGTTCGCACACTACTCCTCATTCCTTCATGCCCTCCCAAGCCCTGAATTTGATGTTGAGCAACAGTGAGAGCTTAATCAATGACTTTGAATGATTCGTATGCAAGCTGAGAGGAATATCAACAAATGTTTTGTCAGATATTCCCAAGAGTAGCTTGACCCAAATCCAAGATTATCTCTATGGTCTGCCCCTTTACATCAACTCAGGATATTGTTGACATTATATATTTGCATGCTTACTATGTTAAAAATGCACTATCAGGAAACCAGAGGCTCTCAAATGATCTTAACCACTTATATCAGGATCAGCTGAAATGCTAGTTAAAAATGAAGATTTCTGGGCCTCTACCCCTTACTGGCTAACAAAATTGTGGGGCTGAGCCTAGAAAGCTGAATTTCTAGGCAGCCTGTGGATTATTCTTACGAAGATTCTGAGGATCTCCAGCCTCTACGGAACGTCACTTCTTCCATGACCGTTTCTGCCACTGATGCTGAATAGACAGAATCCCTCCTTACTACCACCACCGGTAACATGTGCTTGTCACATAATTTAAAAATAAAGCCCCCTGCTGAAAGTCACAAGTCAGCCCCACCCCACAGAAGTTAGATCCCAATCAGGGAACGTGACGCTCGGTACGTTTATGTTCCTATGACGAAAAAGGGAATAACTAAAACAGGAAGTTGAAAATCAAACTTTAACTTTCCTGTATGGAACCATGCGCCAAATTCTGACCCTCTTTGTTGCTCTCTGCTCGTGTGCGTTAGTCATAGGAGGTCATGGAAAATCATCCTCATTATGAGAGGCTGCTCATCAGTCATTACCTCCACACCCTGCCGGGGAGGCAAAGTAGGTGACCGAGCACGCAAATTCAGGGATGTTTGGCTCAGAGAGTTCACATCTCCTCCTAACACAAGAGACAGAGACACCAAGGGTTTGAAATCCAGTAGGGGTGGGAAGTGCTTTGCCTAGGGCTGTCTAGTGTGGAGTTAGGAATGTTTTCTGGGGGTGAGTGTTCAAGTTAGATGATGCCTCCTTCCCTGTTCTGGAGGTTGGGTCCTCTTCCATAAGGTATTGTCCTTTGGTACAGCTTTGTTGTACCATCTAGATGGTACCTTCCGGGCGTGGCCAATCACTTGACCAAAAGGATGGGAGCTTTTGCTCTGAAGAGATCCTGACAAGAGAATATAGGTGTGGCAGAGCCCATTCCTACTCCCCACACACCCTGCTGGCAGTAGGTAGACATTTATCCCTTTATCAGTGTCCTTATGTGGCACCAGATGGTGAGCTCCTAAGGGATAGGGGCCTTGGTATTTTTATTTCTAGATAGAGTCTTGCTTCACAAAACAACAGAGATACAGTCTGAGAAATGTGTCATTAGGCGATTTTGTTGTGTGAATATCACAGAGTGTACTTACACAGCTTACTTACTACACATTTAGACTATACCGTATAACCTCTTGCTCCTAGACTCGTACAGCATGTGACTGTACTGAATACTGTAGGCAATTGTAACATGATGGTAAGTATGTGTGTATTTAAACATATGCAAGCATAGAAAAATGTAGCAAAATATGATATTGTAATCTTATGGGACCACCGTTGTGTAGGCAGTTCATCCTTGAGTGAAACTTCATTATGTAGCACATGATTGTTCTCATAAATGAACATGAAGTGATTGGGCCACCTTATATAGAAATGCGGGGTTTCCACTGTGTAACTCTAGAGGGCGCCACTCACATGTTGATATCATAGAATTGAATCTTTACTGTAACAATATTATGACAGTTGGCTATAAAGTGCTTTGTACTAAAACAATAAAAACCATCATTTCTAATAACTTTCTAGCTGATGGGAATAAAATCAGAATAGGCAGCCTGCTGCTAATTCACTCCAAGGAGCCACAAGTTGTTAAAGCAAAGAGCACAGCCAGATCAGGAAATCCATTAAGGCAAGCTACAAACCTGGTGTTTATTAGGAGGGCAATATGGAGTCACCATGGATTATTTCAAGCAGGAGAGAGACATGATCAGACTGACCTCCTAAAATAGTTGCTTCTGGCTGCCAACTGGAGCACGGATTATTGGCATGGCCACTCAAGTGGTTTCCTGCAAGAATTGTTAGACACTCATCATCTCTCAATTCTTGCAGGAGATTTAAGGCATCTTTGGGAGGTAGAGTTGATAGATTTTGGCGATTTATTGTAGGCACAGTGAGAGAGTCATTGTGAAGGTTTCTTGTTTTGGTGTCTATTGGTAGATGTCTCTACTAATGAATGGTGATTCTATTGATGGATGGTGATTCTACTCACTGACATAAGCAATGCTGGAGAAGAAAGTGGTAGTTTGGGGGCAGAGAGTGTGGAAATGATAAGCTCTGCTTTTGCCTATGTTGAATTTTGAGATGTATATAAGCATCCAGGTAGAGGATTTCAGTGGGCAGTTACATGTGCAGACATGGACGGCAGGAGAGAAATTTGGAATGGAGATATAAATTTCAAAGTTTTCAGCACAGGATGAACTTATGAGGTGAATGAAATGAAGAGAGAGATTAGTTTAAGAGAGGAGGTGGCCCAGGAGAGAGAGATATTTGAGAGGCAGGCAGAAGATGAAAAGCCTTCAACGGAGGCTTAGAAGGAGAAGTCTGGGAAGGCAGAAGGAAAATCAGGAGAAGTGGAATCATGGAAGTCTATATAAGAGGGCTTTAGGGCGAGAGCCAGCAGTGTCAAATACTAACAGTAGATCAAGTCTGGAAAAGTTTAAAAAGTGTCCATTGGATCTAGGAGCTAAAAACTCCAGAGTGCTTTCAGGAGAGTGATTGAGCAAAAGTGAAGATGAAGCGTCTTCAGGAGTGAGTAGAAAGTGAGAACACAGCGACAGTAAGTAGGGAGAATTCTTTTAATAACTTTGGCTGTGAAGGGAGAAAGAGAAGGGTGTAGCTAGAGGGAGTCATGGGGCTAAGGGAAGAAACTGTCAAGATGTGGCAGGTTCAAACAAGTGTGAAAACTGATAGGAAGGAGCCAGTGGAGAAGGACAGGTTGGAAAAAACAGGGCGAGGTTACAGTATGAGTACATGTATGAGCTCTCAAGCAAACCTGCCTGAATTCACATTTTCACTCTGTTATTTCTCATCAGAGAAAACTGAATGAAATTGATGTACTCAAATTACTTTAAAAATTTTAAGTGTAGGAGAGTCATGCTTTTGTTATTTTCTAGTGAATCTGGGAGCAAAGAAAAATGTCAGTGACTGGCTGGGTGTGGTGGCTCACGCCTGTAATCCCAGCACTTTGGGAGGCTGAGGCAGGCCGGTCACCTGAGGTTAGGAGTTCGAGACCAGCCTGGCCATGCTGGTGAAACCCCGTCTCTATTAAAAATAAAAAGTTAACTGGGTGTGGTGGCATGCGCCTGTAGTCCCAGCTACTAGGGAGGCAGAGGCAGGAGAATTGCTTGAACCCGTGAGGCGGAGGTTGCAGTGAGCTGAGATCATGCCACTGCACCCCAGCCTGGGTGACAGAGCAAGACACCATCTTAAAAAAAAAAAAATGCCCGGGCATGGTGGCTCACACCTGTAATGCCAGCACTTTGGGAGGCCGAGGTGGGCAGATCATCTGAGGTGGGGAGTTCGAGACCAGCCTGACCAACATGGAGAAACCCCGTCTCTACTAAAAATACAAAATTAGCTGGGCATGGTGGTGCATGCCTGTAATCCCAGCTACTCGGGAGGCTGAGGCAGGAGAATCGCTTGAGCTGGGGAGGTGGAGGTTGCAGTGAGCCGAGATCATGTCATTGCACTCCAACCTGGGCAACAAGAGCAAAACTCTGTCTCAAAAAAAAAAAAAAAAAAAAAAGTCAGTGACCTTCCTTAGAAGTAGCAATAAATCTTTTCAATATTTATACCATTAAAAATTTATATCATTAAAAATACGAAAATACTTTTTCAGTATTATTTCCATTTATCTATTTATCTATGTTTCATGTAGCTATTGCGGTGGAATAAACCACCCTTAAACTTAGTGGCTTAAAAATAGGAATCATTGGCCGGGCGCGGTGGCTCAAGCCTGTAATCCCAGCACTTTGGGAGGCCGAGATGGGCGGATCACGAGGTCAGGAGATCGAGACCATCCTGGCTGACACAGTGAAACCCCGTCTCTACTAAAAAATACAAAAAAACTAGCCGGGCGAGGTGGCGGGCGCCTGTAGTCCCAGCTACTCGGGAGGCTGAGGCAGGAGAATGGCGTGAACCCGGGAGGCGGAGCTTGCAGTGAGCCAAGATCACGCCACTGCACTCCAGCCTGGGCGGCAGAGCGAGACTCTGTCTCAAAAAAAAAAAAAAAAAAAAAAAAAAAAAAAAAAAAAAGGAATCATTTATTCTGTGCTTGCTTTGGCAGCACATGTACTAAAATTGGAACAATACAGAGAAGTTTAGCATGGCCCCTGTGTAAGGATGGCATGCAAATTCATAAAACGCTCCATAAGAAATTTTTTTAAGAGAATATTTATTCTCCTTTGTGAATCTGTAATTGGGCAGGACTCACTAGGGACGTAGGGACATCTTGTGTTCACTCCACTCAGCATCAGCTGAGAGGAGTCCAAGGGTGGGAACTGGACTGGTCAGATGACTGCCTTCCTCACAGGTCTGGTGAGGCTGGATCTCTGCTGGGAACTCAGCAGGACTGTTGGCCAAACCACCTTTGCTTGGCTTCTTCATGACACCTGGGCTTCCCCACAATATGGTGAGTGGGTTTCGAGAGTAAGGGCTAGGAGAGAGAGAGTCAGGCAGAAACTGTGTAACTTTTGATGACCTAGCTTCAAAAGTCATTCAGCATAACTTTTGCTTCATTCTATTCACTAATGTCAGTCCGCACTCAAAGGGAGGAAAATCATACTTCAAAGGGAGGAGTAACATACACGCAAAGAGAGGAAAATCATACACCTCTTAATGAGAAAAGTCTCAAAGAATTCATGGGCATGTTTTAAAATCAGAACAGTAACAAGTTGCCAATTAGGACAAGAAATTACAGGTTTCATTTTCAGGGTTGTTTCTACAGTACGTTGAAACATTTTCCGAAACTTCAGTGTCTTACGCTGATTAGTAAACATAAGGAATTTATGTTCATAACAGATCCCCTTGTTGTTCAAATATTTGCAATGACATATTTATTTTAACTAGGAACAGAAAAGTTGGAGATGGCAGCCGGGTGTGGTGGCTCATGCCTGTAATCCCAACACTTTGGGAGGCCGAGGCAGGCAGATCATGAGGTCAAGAGTTTGAGACTAGCCTGGCCAACATGGCAAAACCCTGTCTCTACTAAATATACAAAAATTGGCTGGACTTGGTGTCTTGTTCTTGTAATCCCAGCTACTTGGGAGGCTGAGGCGTGATAATCACCTGAACCTGGGAGGCGAAGTTTGAGCCGAGATGGTGCCACTGCACTCCAACTGGGCAATAGGATGAGACTCCATCTCAAAAAAAAAAAAAAAAAAAAGAAAGAAAAAAAAGAAAAAGAGGCCGGGCGCGGTGGCTCAAGCCTGTAATCCCAGCACTTTGGGAGGCCGAGACGGGCGGATCACGAGGTCAGGAGATCGAGACCATCCTGGCTAACACGGTGAAACCCCGTCTCTACTAAAAAATACAAAAAAAAAAAAACTAGCCGGTCGAGGTGGCGGGCGCCTGTAGTCCCAGCTACTCGGGAGGCTGAGGCAGGAGAATGGCGTAAACCCGGGAGGCGGAGCTTGCAGTGAGCTGAGATCCGGCCACTGCACTCCAGCCTGGGAGACAGAGCGAGACTCCGTCTCAAAAAAAAAAAAAAAAAAAAAAAAAAAAGTAAAAAGAAAAAAAAGAAAAAGAAAAAGAAAAACAGAAAAGTTGGTGATAGCAATGGATATTTATACAGGTTTTTATAATGCACAGAAAAAAAGTGTTAGTCTCGCGGCTGTTCTCAGTTTAATGCCTCTCAGATGAATTCTTCGAACAAGTTTATGTTGCAGAACCACTGAAGCTGTGAAGGAGTGGGGTCACCTGTATCAGAGACCTTTTTGCTTGTATGTTAATTCTGAAGACTAGAAGCACTATAAGTGATATTATTTGTATGATAAGCAACAACTCAGGCCTTTGGGCTCTTAAGATTTTCTCAGCTGAAATGAAATAAGAACTAAAGGCAGTTTCATTTAATAATAGTGGGATAAAGAACATAGAGCATTTTTCTTCCCCTTTATGTAAACATGGTTAAGTAAAGTGGGTGTAGAGTAATAAGAACCACTGCTTCACAGGCTTCTGGGGGGAAGACTGAGTTGGCTCATGCACTCCAAGCTCTTAGCACGAAGCCAGACACACCGAGGTACTGACTAAGTGACTGAGGATGACTGATGATGTGAGAGCCTTGAGGAGGCTGACTGGGACACAAAGCAAATGCAGAGAGACTGGCCTTGGGTAAGAGTGGGCTCCTGCTTCTATTGAATGAGAGAGAAGAGGGAAAGCATAAAGAGAGTTTCAACAGGTTTTAATGCGGGCTGATGGGGAACTGAGAAAGTGTCCTTCTACCAGCTTCTGTTACTTTGCTATAAGTGAGGAAAAGGGAGATGGACTAGGAGATTGAAGTCAATGAAGAAGACTGGAAATATTTTCTGTGGAGATGGGTCAGCCAGCTTACTATAGAAACATGAAAGGTTTGCTAAGCAACCATGAGGCCAGTTAGTTTGGATATCATCAATGTGCAGGGTGAGGTTCTGTTATGTTCTCCTGAAGGACTTAGTGGCTTTGGGTTAGAGTCTAGGAGAGTGGACCTTGGACAGATCCAGAGTTTGCCCCACAGTGCAATGGGAGGGCAACAGAGCCAAGCAGTGGAGAATATTGATGAAAGAATGGTCCAAGTGAGCAACTGAAGGAAGTGAAGACCTCCAAGGAGGAGGTGGTAGAGCAAAGTTGAGCAGGTTAAAGGACTGAAGGTTTCTGTGTGGTTGAAATACCAGAGCAATGGGAATAATGGAGAGAGAGAGAACAAGACTGCTATCGGTTGTGGTCAGAGGGTGGTACAGTACTTTTTACAGAGAGGTCATGGTGTTAGTCATCCAAATGGACATTAAGACTCCTTGGGGATTAGGACAAAGAAGAGAGCTTGGTTCCAGTGACAAATATTTAATAAATACGGGAGAATGACTAGGCAGTCAGTAGCTGAAAGCTACGAAGAGAGACAGGATGGTAAAAAACATTAAAGGACTGAGGCTTTTGTTTGTTTTTGTTGTTGTTTTTTTTGTTTGTTTTACAAAGGCTGGAGAAGTCACAATCTGAAAACATCAGTAGAGAGATGACCCCATGCTGGTCCTGTGATATCCAGATGGTAGGGGCATGAGCTTCTTCTCCTTAAGAAAGATGCAGGGGAAACATGGTCCCAGAGGATAGCCAGGTCTCAGCCAAGGCATGAATTGAGAAAACAGTTAGAAAAGAGAATGGAAAAAAATAGATAGGTTTTTTCATTTAAAAAGTAACTATTTAGGACCTGCTCTGTGCATGGTACTGTTTTGGGCATTGAAATGCATCTGTGAATAAGACATAGTAAGGAATTTGCATTCCAGTGATAGGAGACAGACAATAAACGCCTGAGCAAATACATACTCAATATAATTTTGGATACTGATACAACTGTGCAGAAAAAAAATATGCTATTAGATGAAGAGTGAAGGTGTGCAGAGAAGTGGAGGTTTGCTGCAAATTATGTTCTCCAAAGGAAATGGAGAGCGCCGTGGGAGTTGTGTTGACAGTAAGCCTAGATAGATTTTATTGCATTAATGCTTGCTGGAATAAATAGCTCTGCTGAATAGCAGATGGAAGAAAGCACACTGGGCTTTGCAAATCATCACTGTGATGCATGTAATTTTGCAGAACTGCCAGGGTTTCTCACAGCAACTCATTTCCATTGTGGCTCCCTAGAGAGAGCTGTGGCCACTGCAAGATTTCTCCTACCTGCATGACCTCATGGCCAGCAACAGACAATTGCAACTTCTGCCTACGGACTTCATGGGTCAGGGAACCACTGGAAAGCAAAGCAGTCACTTGCTGTGGGGGGGTTGGAGGAACTGGAGGAAGCCTCTGAGGCCCCTTGCATGCAGCTCAGAGAGTAATAGCGTTCTCAGGTCGGGCAAAGGGAAGTGGCTAGCACTTTAGACATGACACTCATTGAGGCTTGGAGGAGACGTTTTTAGGGCAAAGAAAGGGAAGTTTTACTTCACTCGTAGTTAGTAAACATAAGACATGTACATTCTTAATAGATCTCCAAATAACATTAGAGGAAGGCCAGGAACAATTTTAAGGGGATAGAGCTATAACTGACTGGGGTGAGAACTGGGGACATTTGGGAAAGAGTCATCATTCCAGGTGGCCTCAAGGTCAGTATTTGGGCTCCTGTGATTCTCTATGATGCTCTGATTGGCCACTGCCACTCAGGCTCAGACTGGTGTCCCCCTTGTGTGGTTTTTCTTTATCACGTATCCTATAGTCCTCTTTCCTGATTCTCCCTTAACCTGTGCCTCTTCTTGAGATCATGAGGAAGATATTATTTTCTAGTTACAGTTAAAGTCTTTCCTTTTTAAAATGACCTAATTAATTCATTAATGCCTCATTTATTCCCACCTTTTGAGCTTTCATTATATTCAAGACACTATTGTAAAAAATAGAGACTTAAAGATAAAAATAATGTTATAACTCACCAAACAGGGAGAAGAGATAATTTTTTTGAATGACGCTACAAAATAATGTAAATGTTGGGTTTCCCTTTACTCCACATTATCTCCTTCAGGCATCCACAAGCTTCAACCAGAACTGACAGATCTTTATCTTTAGTGCATTTTTCTCTTCTAGCTTCCAGGTTTGTACATCCAGTTTCCAACTGGACACTCCATTTAGCATCCCATCTGCATCTCAAACACAACACAACTCAAATGGAATTAACCATCTCCCCGACTACCCTTAGAATCCATCTGTTCCTCCACCTCTTGTATCATCTTTCTCAATGAATGATGCTATTGCTACCCGCCAGTTATCTAAGCCTTTAAATAATAATACCCTTGATCCCTACTGCCCTTCTACATTCAATAGTCACTTCCCATATTCAGTAGTTGCTAGGTCCTGTTGAGTCTACCTAATAAACATTTCTAGGGCTTTCTCTCCATCCTCATGGTCAGCACTGTGGCTTAGACCCTTGTCTCCTCATCCGTAGGTCACTGAGCAACCTCCCAGCTAGTCTCCTTACCACAAAGTCTTGCCTCCTTTTTTTGTTTGTTTGTTTGTTTGTTTGTTGTTGTTGTTGTTGTTTAGGAGCAGAGATTTAATAGGAAAAAGAAAGAGAAAGGAGAATAGCTCTCTCTTGCGAGAGAGAGGGGCTCCCAAATGGGAATTCCCAGTCTTGCTTTGTTCTAAAGCAGGTCCACATTGCTACATAGGGATGGCACCCTGCCTTTTCCTCAATGGCTCCCCACATGTTTGTAGCGC